TGAACTTTTAGGTTTCAAAACTTAAAAGTCAAAACTATCACAAACCTGCAACGTGCAGGTCAAGCACAGGTCAACGAATTTCATCCTCCTAGCAATGCATTGTAACGTGTTCCTAGGGGATGCGTGTGACACACTCACGGCCAAAAAGTGTGTATTTTATCCCAAAAGTTAAAGCCCTTAAAAGTGAACAATTTTTCACTAAAAAAATAAAAGTGCACAATTAGTTAATTGATCATTTAGTATTTTTATCCCCTTTTTTGCACACACATTCAAATTCAAACTGTTGTTATTTTTATTTTATTTTTTCCTAAGCACGGCTTGTAATTTCTATGTCAATTATACAAAACTTTTTCTGTTCTCTTACATCAGTTATGAGAATGGTTTTTTGATTAACGATGGCGCGTGAAGAACTATGTAACAAATTAGTATGTTATTCTAGTGATGATGATTCCGATTATGCATTTTAAAATTTATCCATTATACAGACGGTATTCGTTTTTAGTGAAATCGTTATTCGTCATGCAACTCAAGCATGTACTACGAAATTGGTTATTTATATTCGTGTAACTACAACTAGATGCTTGCCGCTTGTATTTTTAAATCGATTAAATAAAAAACACGAATCATTCTTAAAAGAATGAAAAAAAATAGAAGAATAAAAAATCTATTGAAAGGACAGGAAGTGAGTTATTACACATAAATCTATGCCCAGATATACAACATTTAATTTACAATAGTTAACATATGTCTGGGTTTACATAAATCATAAACAAATATCTACAACAGAAGAATAAAAAAAAATCATCCTTAAAAAATCAAATTTCTTTCAGGACAGCTTATTTTTTCTCTGTTGTGGAAAGAGATGCATTGATAATTGATGTCAGATTTTAAGTAATTGATTTAAAGGTCCGGGTGTGAGAGAGGAGCGGAATGGAAGAGATCCTTTAAAATTGGGGATCCGGAAAGACATTACTGGTGTTTCACTTGATTTAAGGGAATTTCCTTACATTTGATTTTATCAACTAAATATTGTTGTTTTAAGGGATTGGTATATACCTATAATTAAGAGATTTTATATAGCTATAATTAAGGGATTTATGTATTTATCTATTCCATCTTTTTTTTTCTGATTAGTTAGAGTGCCACGTGTCAAAAATGATTTTGTACTAAAAATGACTTTTGGCGGGAAAATTTCCATTGTGGTGCTGACACATGTCCTTTTTTGTTTGCTGCTTTAATTAAGTACTATAGATATATATATATATATATATATATATATATGTGTGTGTGTGTGTGTGTGTGTGTGTGTGTGTGTTAATTTGACATGCAAATGTGAATCTTATTGTTATTCATTCAGTGCATCATTATTATCCATGTTTTATTATGTTATTATTCACCCTGTGAACAAAATTAGTTCGTTGCCCATGAATAAATTGGCTTTATATCTAATTTAGTTTATTGATGAATATCAATTGTATAGATAATGAATAATTATTATGTGATTGATGAATAACATATGCTTTTGAACGTTTAGCACAACAAGTATTGAAAATATGATTTTACTAATGAATGTGCAAGCCAAGATAAATCATTAATGTTTGTTTGATTGATGAATTTACTGGGAAATATAGAGCGTGTACTCAAAATAGTAAGTTCATTGATGAATATGATATGTTGAATTAATGAAGTTATACTTTATCATTTATGAACATCTGAATTAATGAATATAATAAAGAGTATCACATGTGCAAAACAGGGTTGAGACGTATGATGAATAAAAATACTATCAAAAATGAATACTGATAGTGCAATGGATGAATTTTTATTCATGACTTAGTCTTGTTGTATAAAAAGAAGCTCGAGTCATAGGCTGAATAACATCACAAAAAAATGATTATTGATAATTTTATGAATGAATACCATAATTTTACACAATCATTAATACTACTGAGATATAATCTATTGAAGAATCATCTGATCTAATCTAAGGTATCTCAAAATTATCCGATCTCCAACTGAGAAATGATGAATAATGTTAGTTACAGGATGAATAAGACAAAGACACATGTATAAAGCAGGGTTGAACTACATGATGAATAACAATACTGTCAAAAATGAATATTGACATTGCAATAGATGAATTGTTATTCATGTCTTATTGTATAACAATAAGCCTGAGCCACATACTAAATAAAAAAATGAATATTTGTATATTTATGAATGAATAACCATAAATTCACACAATCATTAATATTACTCAGATCTAATCTAATGAATAACCATCAAATCTATTTTACGGTATCTCAAAATTATCAGATATGCAACTTAGAATTGATGAATAATGTTAGTTTAAAGGATTAAAAGACAAAGACACATACAAAACATGCTTGATTACATAATGAACAACATCACAAAACATAAAGACTGGCTGTTAAATGGATGAATAACCATCATTTAACAATATCATTAACTCTACCTATAATTAGAGATGTGGAAAACAATCATATGTCCAAATACCTCTATCATAATAGGCGATGAATAACAATATAACAAAAGATGAATGAACGCGCTTAAATTATTAAACAACTATCAGATCTAAACTAAGGTATCTCATAATTACCCATTATCTAAATGAGGGATGATTATCAATTTCTTAGCTCCAGATTTGATATTCTTCCCTTCCTACATGAACATCATAAAAACAAACGTAAGAAAATGAAATATATGTTGTGAACGTCATATTTCGGAAATATCCTATAACACTTAAGACCAAGTTCATTTCTTAGTGATTTCCTCATCAAAATCCTTTGTCGGATGAATAAACATCAATCGGCTAGAATTTTCTCTAAAATTTCTCAGATCAAGTTGTTATCAGGACGAAAAGTAAGTTGCAGGGAATACTAGAGAGCATGATGAAGAATTGAACAGAAGGGTGAATGATTTTGTGTAATCGTTGATTGTGGATAATGGAGGATAACCAGTCGCTGATAATGGGCGTTTGAAATTCAAAAATAGCACAGGAAATTAGGATTGATTTTTGGTTGATTTTTTTTATATATATAAATTGGAGCGCGTAATCACACAAATGGCAATTTCATGAATAAATGCAAATATGGTCAATTTTTGGAGCATGTGTTTCACACTAGGAACACAATGGAACTGTATATATTAACTATAAGCATAGTTTAAATATAACTTAGAATAAATCAAAACAATATCCAATCAGTCTTGCCCTTATCCAACCTTGTTTAAAATAATAATCTTATCTGTAATTGGATGGGAAATGAAATCTCATCCTCGAATTAGATTTTTCAAACACACTAAATAACTTATTTATATATCCCATGAAGTAATTTGTTGTTCTTAAAACACCTTTATGTTTATCAAAAATATGTATAGTTCCTCTCGGTATCCCTAATATAAGTTTACTGTTCTATTTTGTGTTTATTTATGAATAATCCATAAAGTGATTCTTAATGTATAATTTATAGTTTTATTTAGAATAATTGTTAATCTAATTTTGTAGCTTTTCTATGCAAACATAATGTGATTAATTATTTTTCTACAAATTTTAAATAAATAGAGATAATTATCTATTTTCGGTAAATTTCGAAAACATATCACTACACAATATTCGTTCAAACTTTTTTTTATTAAGGTAATACACAATAACATACCTAGTTGGATATTAATTTTCCTCAAATGTATTTTCTATACTATTAAAAGTTTTTTTAATTTTAAGAAAAAAAATTAAATTAGTTATTTGGAATGGGATAATCTGATAAGCTTGATAATTTTTAGTTTTGTTATTAAGATGTTAAAATTCAAGTTTAAGCAATTTCTCTATATTTGTGGTAGGATAGTTTCCTTGATAATATTAATAATTATAATAACCAAACATGAAAAAAAAAAGAAGAAAATCGGGTGGGTTTTTAATTTTCATTGTTTGCTAATGTAAATACTTTTAAATTTTGTTGAATTGTTGTAAGATATTTCTTAACAATTGTTAAATACATAAGATTACATCAATCCCATTATTATACAACATCATACATCATATTTGTTGTCATTTATTTTTTCACTAAACATCGTAACGGTGGGAATCGTAATAAAATTATGATACATCTATTTCTTTCTAGTGTGTTGAACTTTTCCAACATGAAACGATATATTACATGTAAACAATCTCCAGAATTCTTTTATTATTATTATTTATTTAACCAATACGATGTCTGGCGGGCATGCTCTTTGTTATTATGGCCTCATAAAAGAAGAATTACAAGGATAGCCCAAAGATCATGTACAAAAAAAAAAAAAAACCCGTTTAAATTAGACTAATTCAAAATATGAAAAATATCTTTGATCAAAGATCAAAAGGAAAAAAAAACCGTCTAAATTAGACTAATTCAAAATATGAAAAATATCTTTGATCAAAGATCAAAAGGCTTTTTGTTACAAATCAAAAAGTGGACTGGACTTGGAAAATCAATGAATTACCCGCAGACGCTATCCTCGCCAAACTATTAGCCATTGAATCTGCCCCGTGGTAGATAAGTGATCTTACTAAGGCCCTTCTTTGCATAATGTCATCAATCTCAATCAAAGGAAAGATGTGCTTCCATAAAGTCTCCCTACTTGTTCAAAAGCTCGCTTATTACATGTGAACAATCTCATGATCAATGAACAATATTGACAAGCTTCAAATCACCAAGTTGTATGAAGATCAAACAAGGATCAACGAGCATTATTTTATTTAAGGCATTTGGCTCTTTCATACACGTAGAAAAAAAACTGTTTTCAATATTCTCGAACTGTATGATGAATATTTTCATATCTTTGATGAATTCTTGCACATAGTGGTCTACTGTAGTGATGCCACCAAACATAACTTGAAACCATTATAGTTTGTGCAAAATTAGAGTGGCACCATGCCGAGGTTGAAGTGTAACCCTAATATATGACACGTGAGTATAAGACGGGGAAAGTTGTAAGGTGAATCGCTACAAAATCATTGCCAACACTAATTTTGCTTCTACCATTGTAAAGTTTTGTCCAATGCATGTCCGAGCCCCATATCCAAATGGCGAAAAACCAAATTGGCCTTCTTTTGTAGTTGCATTTGAAATTCCATTCTTAAATCTCTCTGGTCGAAATTCACTTGCATCGTCACCCCATATTTTGGGATCACGATGCAACATCCATACTCGTAAAGTAAAAATCACCCCAACAGGAATATTAAACTCCCTAAGTTTTGTTTCTTCATGAGTTTGTCTCATAAGCACTGGAAACGACGGATATAGTCTTAAAACTTCATTGAAGATCATTGTCACCTGTGAAAAAAATAATTAAACGAAAACACTTCTATGTATATAATCCTCCCATCTTGGTAAAAAAAAATTCAAATATATAGTCCACTAAATTAAAGTTATTGGCATTTTCGTTTCTACGTAAAAAGTGAATCCTATTATTGACTTTACCTACCTCGAAAAATAATCTATATTAAACTTTGAGATTTGTGCTAAAAACAGAATAGATTTTAAAACTTAATGTGGATTTTATTTGGGGGTAGAGAGAATATTAGAATGTAGAGTTTATTTTTTTATAAAGTTGTTGACTAAGGTACTCATCAAAGGAAACATGTAATACAATCAAGCAAAGGGGACAAATTTTTTGATTCACCTGAAAAGATGAAGGATTAAAAGCATTACCCTCATATTAAAAAAGAATTCATCCAAGTTCATATCATCATATGATTGAAGTAAGATTGTGGTTTAAGTTTCATGCACCCAACAAATTAGCACACTCACCACTTTGAGTTGATTAAGGCCATGGAAATATATTTCTTCCTTTCTAGAAACTTGCAAAACCTCATCTCTTGCGTGTGATTGCCAATCTTGATGCTTGCCAAGTAAAACAAAGGTCCATGCAATCAAAGTCGAAGTTGTCACCTGGCCAGCCAAATAAAAGGCTTTGCATTCTTCAATAACTTCGTCGATGCTTAAACCAAACTCTTGGTTTCTTCCTTGTTGTACAATTTCTCTAGAATTAGACTTCAATAATATGCCCAAGAAGTCATCCTTTTTCTTCTCCCCTGGTTTTGTTGCTTTCATTCTCTTGTCAATTATATCTTTGATTTTCATTCTTGCTACTTTTTCAACCTCTTTCAATTTTCTATTTCTCTTAGTTGGTAGAAACCTATTTGGACAAAGAGATTAAATTAGCCTGAGACTCTGATTTGTTTCTCTCTGTCTCACGAGGATAATTTACATTATAGTTTGTGAATTATAGTTAAAACACTACAATTTACAGATTGAAATATGAATTATTTTTCTAAGACGGATGGGGTATAATATATATATAAACATAAAAAGAATAATCAATTTTTGAAGAAGATTTTATTCTACCCTTAATCCCGAAAAATTTAAGGATCGAACATCTGTTGCAACTTCCATTCCCTGTTCTCGTTGGAGTTCAAATATCTTTTTCCCTTCTTCATAGTTGCTACGAAATTGATATGCTTATATTTTACTTATTTATTAAATCCCTAATTTGTGTTTTTGCAATAAATTTTGAGTACAAATATGCTTTTTGTATGATTTTATCTTTATTTGTAGGTTTTGTACTCAAATGGAAGAAATGTTGAGGTTTTGGACTAAATTGAAAAGAAAAAGCAACTCAAAGGGAGAATTGAAGATATGTTAAATTGACAAGGAAGAAATTGAAGCACTTGAAGAGTTGGAGGAGTTTTAATTTAAATTGGCTTGAAAAAAAAATAACTTTCTTATTCTTGAAGAAATAGGGTTTGAGAAAAGCCTATAAAAAGAGGACTAGGGTTTTATTTTTGGAGACAGAGAAAAAAAAACATGCACCACCACCTTGAGCCTACGCCCAAAATTCCTCTTCTCCACTACCACGCACACCAGCCCGCACCACCATCATCACCACGCATCATCACCATCTCATCCCATCATCATCACCTTAATCATCATCGTTATCGTCATCATCAAACCCTCACTTCCACCGCACCATCGAAGTCTCCAACACCAGCTCATCATCATCACCATCAGCCGAGAAGAACCGTACGCACTAGAAGCAAGCAGCAGCAAGAATCAACTCCGGGACGAAAGCCTTCGGATTTGCTTCACGGCTGGACAAGTTTTACGGCCTTGATTTTTTTCCGGGTTTTTGGTGTTTTAATTCCTTTAATTTCAGATTTTGTGTGATGATGTCTCTAAATATTATTGAATTATTTTGATGATGTTTAGTAGCTAAACTCCTTTAACCTAGGCTTGGATGTAGCCGCCGGATTTATTTGGTTTATTTAGTTCATTATTATTTGACTTTTCCATTAATTAATATTTGTTATTCTTGTTTTAATTTGTTTAAGTAATTCGCCACTATTTGCATGTCTAAAGATACTAATCAAAGTAGCGAGAGTGGAAGATTAGTATTAGTTCGTAGGAATAATAGACTTAGGGTGTAAGTTACGAGAGTAAGATTATAACCTTTGCAACGTTAGATTCTTAAGTTCTTAATGTGTTTTTGTTAATCCCAATAATCACAAGAGTAGTCATAGGGTTAATCTAACTAAGAGAATTATAACACTAGAGTGTATAGTTCTTAATTAGGTGAGTCGTTGTGAGATTAATGGAAGTTAAAAGTAAAATACTTATGAGTTGAACTAAACCAAATATTCGGTAGGTGAACCTAATGTCCCAGGTTTTTCCAACTTGATTGTTTTCAACCTTTGAAATTAATTTCATATTTTAGATTCTAGCTTTAGCTTTATTTTAATTGAAAATCTGAGATTATCATTTATTTAGATAATAATAGGAGTAATTTATACTTGGTAATTAGTATTCCTTCTCTGTGGGTACGACCTTATTTTCCGCTATACTAGTGTTAAGTAGGTGAATTTATTTGACTAGTTGTGACGATAGTTTGTCAAATTTGGCGCCATTGCCGGGGAAGGCAGCTAATATCGAATTTAGATTACTTTCTTTTATTAGTTTAGATTTCTATTTTATTTTATTTTATTTCTTTCAAATATTTTTGTCTTGTTTTTATATACGAAGTGTTAATCTTGAGACTTTGCAATTTGATCCAGAGATCGAGAGGACAGCTTGTGCAAATAGAAAAGAAGCAAAACTAAGAAAGGAGAAGAATCAGAGTGAAACCATGGGCGATAGAGTAAACACTCGGACACTGAGGGATTACTTCACACCTACGGAGAATGTTGCTAGGTCAAGTATTACTAGGCCTAGCATTGCTGCGAATACTTTTGAGCTCAAGCCAGCATTGATCCAGATGGTGCAGCAGAATCAATTCTCCGGTTTTAATAATGAGGATCCAAATGCGCATATTGACAACTTTTTAGAGATCTGTGATATTGTTAAGATAAATGGTGTGACATCAGATGCAATCCGGCTGAGACTTTTCCCTTTTTCATTGAGGGGAGAAGCGAAGAATTGGTTGAGTACTTGCGATCCTGGTTCCATCATAACTTGGGATGAGCTGTACAAGGAGTTCCTGATCAATTTCTTCCCACCAAATAAGGCAGCGAAATTGAGAAATCAAATTACTGGGTTTATTCAAGAAGATGATGAGACATTTCATGCTGCATGGACAAGATTCAAGGAATTGCAAAGAAGATATCCTCACCATGGTATTGAGAAAAGTACTATAGTTCAGACTTTCTATCAAGGATTGACAGAATTTGCAAGAAACAATGTGGATGCTGCAGCTGGAGGTTCATTAATGGATAAATCAATTGATGATGCCTATGAATTGTTTCAAATTATGGCAAAGAATAGGAATCAATGGTCGAACTCGAGAAGTGTTTCCAAGAAGCCTGCTGGAATGTATGAAGTCAATGAACTAAGTGCCATGAGCGTAAAGATAGATGCACTGACCAAGGCGATGGGTAATCTTGTAAATGCTAATGCAGTCTTCCATGCCACTGTCTGTGAGTTCTGTGGAGGTCCTCATTTGAGCTCTGAATGTACACAACTGGCAAGTGCACAATATGTCTCTAATTTCAGCAAGTCTCAGCAGTAGAAAAATCCATACTCCAACACATAAAATCCTGGTTGGCGAAATCATCCAAACTTTTCTTGGAATAATCAAGGGGCTCAAGACTTTAATGCAAGACCTCAAAACCCTCCTGGTTTCCAAGCAAAGTCATACCAATCTGCACCTAAGTGAGCAACGGAGGTAAGTTTGGAGAGAATGGAAAAATTGTTGAGTGAAAACAATAAAAAGAATGGTCTAACAGAATAGAAGCAAGGTTAGATCAGTTTAGTAATGCTCATAGGACCTTGGAGATGCAAGTGAGTCAAATGGCCTCCGCCATGAATACTCGTGGACAAGGTCAACTGCCAAGCAAGTCTGAAATCAACCCTCGTGAAAATTGTAGTGCTATCATGTTGAGAAGTGGGAAGCAGTTGGGTGACAAGGAGGAACCAAAGACCACTGAAGTGAATGTGACCACTGATGTCTGATGAGAAGAAAGAAGAGAATAAAGAGAGTGATGAAGAAAAAGTGGAGAAAGTGGAACATGAAGAAGAAAAGATATATGTGTCACCACCGCTTAAACCTTATGTTCCACCAGTGCCTTTTTCACAGGCACTCCATATGACCCAGCAAGATAGGTTGTTTGAGAAATTTCTGAAAATTTTTAGACAATTGCATATTAACATTCCTTTTGCAGATGCTTTAGCTCAAATTCCTGCTTATGGGAAGTTCTTGAAGGAGATCATCTCAAACCGAAGGAAAGTGGAAGACTTTGAGACAATTGCATTATCTGAGGAGTGTAGTGCTGTTATTCAGAGAAAGTTGCCTCCAAAATTGAGTGATCCAGGGAGTTTCTCTATTCCTATCTCTATGGGTGATGTTTGTTTTGATAAAAGTTTATGTGATTTAGGTGCTAGTGTTTCATTGATGCCTTTATCTGTTTATAGAAACCTTGGGTTGAAACATTTGAAACCAACTAACATCACTTTGCAGTTAGCTGATAGATCCATAACTCATCCGAAAGGGATTTTGGAAAATGTGCTGGTAAAATTGAAGAAATTTTATATCCCTGTTGATTTTGTTGTGTTAGATATGGAAGAAGATGCTAATGTGCCAATTATTTTAGGTCGACCGTTTCTAGCCACAGCTGGTGCTGTTATAGATGTTAAAAAAGGGAGTTTAAAATTTCATATGGGAGAAGAATCTGTGGAGTTCACATTTTCTGAAAATTACAAATGCCCTACATTTACTCATCATGTGTTTAGGGTAGATATTCTTGAGAAGCTAGATAAAACTGATGTTTTCATTGCTA